GGAGCATCTGTCCTATGAGGAAAGGCTGAGGGAGCTGGGCTTGTTCAGCCTGAAGAAGAGAAGGCTGTGAGGGGACCTTAGAAATGCTTACAAATCTCTGAAGGGTGGGTGTCAGGAGGATGGGGCCAAGCTCTTTTCAGTGGTGCCCAGCGACAGGACAAGGGGCAATGGGCACAAATTGAAGCACAGGAAGTTCCGTCTGAACATGAGGAAGAACTTCTTCCCTCTGAGGGTGACGGAGCCCTGGAACAGGCTGCCCAGGGAGGTTGTGGAGTCTCTTTCTCTGGAGATATTCAAGATCCGCCTGGACAAGGTCCTGTGCAGCTTGCTGTAGATGACCCTGCTTCGGCGAGAGGGTTGGACTAGATGACCCACAGAGGTCCCTTCCAACCCCTACTATTCTGTGATTCTGTGATTCTGTTGAAGAGCTCCTAATTTTGAAATGGTTGCCACTCATGGGGATGTCTTTTGACGTATTTCCAGTCACCACCTGTTTCATTGGCAACTCAGATTCTTAAGAGCAGTTTGGTGACTGAATAACTGGCTCTTGAACCCTATCTACTGTAAGAATTTTTCATCCTGATTCCCCCTGGTTCCATCTAAGGAGACCTCTGAGCTGGAAACATCCTAGGTGAGAAGAAGGTTCTCTTTCTCTGTGATCATATCTTAAAACACAGGATGAGCTTCTTGGGCTTTATTTTGAAAAAAAAAAATGTTTGTGGATAGTTTCTGCTGTTACATTTAGAAGTAGAAACTCTCACAAATGAAATGGAGGTCACAGGAAGGGTGGTCTTTAAGGCAGTGCAGTGCTTAGCTGGAGGAAATAAATTCTCTGCTAGAAAGTTCTGAAGTGGTACATGGCAGTTTCTTTAAACAAGTATGTTAAGAAGAATACTGTGAATTTGTCTTATGAGTGTTTTGCTAGATATTTTTAGTATCTAAAATCACCAGGGAGAATGGTGGTTCCATTGTGAAAACTGGAGCAAGTAAGATAAGAGCTTTTATGGAACAGCCAGTATCGTTGGGGAAGAAGTTTTGTGTGCTAGTCTCTGCTAAATCATTGCAGCTGCAATAACAATGTTGCTGAGGTCCTTCCCTATATCCAAAAGCAGATGCCTTTTTAATGGCTGTATGGTACTTATAATGTCTTATTGAAGTAAAAAGAATTAGTCTATTGTAACACTTGAATTTCTTTTCTCTCTCCTCTTCTGTTTCTTCATTCATTTTCCTTAGGCTTTAGCAAAGAAAGCAAGAGATGGAAAACTGTTACCGGAAGAGTACCAGGGAGGATCTTTTAGGTAAAAGTCTCTAACAGCATTTAATACATGCAGTGTGGGTTCAGAACTGTTTTGTCCTCAGCTATTGCACTGTGTTAAAGCATTGCCTTTTAAAATCTTGCTCCATTTAGATTGAAACCCCATGTGATGATTCTGAGGGCCAAACCCAGTCTGAGTGTCCTGTATCAGGGGCAAACAATTGTCTTGATACAGGTTTATGTCATCTGTGCGTCATGTCAAGTTCATGTTTCTCATACCGAGACTGATCTGACTTTTATTTTTGTCTCTAACTTTTCCAAGTTGCAGAAGAATGTTTTTTGTTGGTTTGTTTGTCTGTTTTTTAAAATTGCATTCTGTAGCTAAGAAACCCCATTGATAATAGTTTTAAAATAAATATTTTGAAAGGAGTTGTTTGGCAGGGGTCTTTCAGCAGACAGTGATGTCCAGTTTGTCTTCAATTCACTTGTCAGAGGAATATCTCTAGAGGGCCAAAAAGAGTTACAGCAAGTCTGTGGTATTGTCTTATACTTTACTTTTAACTGAAACATTAAAAACTGGGTAGATTGATTTTAAATAGTAGCATGTAAATAGTAAATACTTTTTTCCATAAGATGTAGTCTGCAAAAACAGCTAGTGAGCTCGGTGATGAGATACAAATGGCATGTGTAAAACACTAGCATAAATGTAGTGACACAGTTGCACAACTAATTTCTCAACTGACTATTTATACTCCCCACATTTCTAAATCTTTCAATATACTGTATTTTGACACAGTATCGTCAAGCAACACTTATTGTATAAACTTCAGCTCACTTTTTGTCAAGTTTTTAAAAGCTAATTCTGAATGCTTATGTTAATCATATCTTCTATAATAGATAATTTGTGTTGTGAGTAATTCTACAGACTCCTGCAGAAACATTGCTGTAATGTAATTAATGTGCCTGGGTTGCAGCTATCTGGAGTATGTGGCTCTCATGCTAGAGAAGTGGTCAAAAAAATCTCTAAGCCTTTCAGCAGAACAAAATGTATGGAAATGCAGCAGTGGAGGCTTGCATGCCTTCATCAACACAAATGGCCCAGGCGTAATTAACTGTGGGCATGTCACTGGTAGCAGATGGCGTTAGTGAGAACAGCTGTGTAAGGTGTGATGAGGTAGATCATCTGCTTGGCAGCAGAGCTATGAGAAGAAGTATAAACGTTAAAGAGCATCAGGGAGTCTGGGAGAGACTGGTGGAACTATGCTCTGCCCTCCATGAGACAGAAACAGGAACAATCACCAGGAGAAAAATGCAAGATGAAGGGGATCCTGTATCCTTGCCCTGCCAGGCTGAAGGCAGTAGCTTAAAGGAGTGAATGGAGGCCAGTCCATGGTTGTGGCAGCAGACGAACCTCATCCTTGCCCACTTCATGTTCCCAGGTGCCTCTGTGCAACAGGTATGAGGTGCTGGATGTGGAAGGCCAGTCAATGGATGATGTGAATGACAGTCCAACTACACCGGAGGTGTTGCCAAAGTCAGAAGGGCCTACCCCTTGTATCACAACCACCTCCACGAGGAAGAAAAGTGGATTCTATTTGTAGGTGACTACCTTCTGAGAGGAACAAAGGGTCCAATGTGCCAGGCAGACCCTCCTCTTAGACAAGTCTGCTGCTTCCCTGGGGCCCAGGTCAAGGACATCACTAGGAAACTTCCTAGCCTGGTACGGCCCTCGGACTGTTACCCATTACTGCTCTTCCGTGTGGGTGGCTAAGGAGCCACAACACGTAGTCCAAGGGCGATCAGAAGAGACTTCAGGGCCTTGGGATGGTTGGTAGGGGAATGTGGAGCACAGGTTATTTTTTCCTTTCCCAGTTATGGGCAGTGACATTAGAAGAAACAGATGCACCCAGTCTACTAATACTTGGCTCTATGGCTGGTGTCACGGCCACAATTTTTGGTTTTTCGATAACGGGATGGCCTACATTGCACCAGGCCTGCTGGTGACAGATGGAATTCACCTTTCTCAAAGCAGGAAGAGTGTCTTTGCCCACAAGCTAGTGGGGCTCATTGGCAGAGCTTTAAACTAGCCTTGAAAGGGGAGAGGGATAATGCCAGGCTTGCCTATGACAAGCTGTGGGATGACACGCCAAGGTTAGAGAAACGGGGTGCTAGCAAGGGCCCTCAGCTTGGTGCTCCGAGATGTGCTGGCTACACTGGAGCACACTTGAAGTCTTATGGATATGAGCCATGGGCTCCTGAGGTAGTAGGGGCAAACAGGGAAACACTAGTGAAATACTTCAGAGGAACTAAAGGGGGGTTCCTCTAAGACGGTGACATATCCAACAGCCCAGCTGATGTGCCTCTACACCAGTGCACACAGTGTGGGCAACAAACAGGAGTAGTTCTAAGCCACCAATCTGCTAGAAAGCTACAACCTAGTTGTCCTTACCAAAACTTGGTGGGATGAATCCCACAACTGGAGTGCAGCTGTCGATCGCTATAGGCTGTTCAGAAGGGACAGGAGAGGAAGGAGGGGCAGAGATCTTTCCCTCTACATCAAGAAATGGAGAGAGTGTGAAGAGCATGCTCTACAAGAAGGGATGCGATACTGGATCTGTTGGTCACCAATGCAAGGGAGCCAATTGGTGACATCAAGATTGGAGGTAACCTGGACTGCAGTGATCACACACTGGTGGAGCTCGCAATCCTGAGGGATATGGCTCAGGCAAAGAGTAAAGTCAGGACCCTGAATTTTAGGAAAGCAAACTTCCGGATGTTCAAGGAATGAGTCAAGAGGAGCCCCTGGGAAACTGCCCTTAGGGACAAGGGAGCAGAATGTAGCTGGCAGATCTTTAAGGAGGCTTTCCATAGAGTACAAGAGCTCTTGATCCCCAAAAGGCTGGCATGGTTGAGTTGAGACCTACTGGTCAAACTAAAGGACAAGAAGGAAATGCACAGGCAATGGAAGCAGGGACTGGTATCCTGGGAATAGTACAGGGATGCTGCCTGGTTTTGCAGGGACGGGGTCAGGGAAGCCAAGGCACGGATGGAGCTGGACTTGGCAAGAGATGCAAAGAATAATAAGAGCAGCCTCTACAGGTATCTCAGCCTGAAAAGGAAGATCGAAGAAAGCGTACCCTCCCTGGTGGGCAAGACTGGCAAGCTGGTAACAACAGATGAGGAGAAGGCTGAGGTACTCAACAACTTTTTAACCTCAGTCTTCACTGGCACACTTCTCTCACGTGGATGGACCTCGAGGCAGGGACTGGGGGAGCAAAGTCCCTCCCACTGTAAGAGAAGATCAGGCTCATGGCCACCTGAGGAACCTGAACATACTGAAGTCTATGGGACCTTATGAGATTCATCCCAGAGTCCTGAGGGAATTGGCTGATGTAGTTGCCAAACCCACCTTCATGATATTTGAAAAGTCGTGGCACTCAGGTGAAGTCCCTGGTGACTGGAACAAGGGAAACATAGCACCCATTTTTAAAAAAGGCAGAAAGGAGGACCATGGGACCTACCAACCTGTCAGCCTCACCCCTATGACTGGGAAGATCATGGAACAGATCCTAGAAGCTATGCTAAGGCACATCGAGGACAGGGAGGTGATTCGAGACAGCCAGCATGGCTTCACCAAGGCCAAGCCTTGCCTGACCAGCCTAGTGGCCTCCTAAGATGGACTGACTACATCAGTGGACAAGAGCAGGCTATGGATGTCATCTGTCTGGACTTCTGTAAGACCTTCTACACAGTCCCCCAGAACATCCTTCTCTCTAAATCAGAGACATACGGATTTGATGGGTGCACCATTCGGTGGATGAGGAATTGGTTGGATGGTTGCAACCTGAGAGTAGTGGTCAGCAGCGCAATGGTGCAGATGGAGACCAGTGACAAGTGGTGTCCCTCAGGGGTCCATACTGGGACCAGTACTGTTTCATATCTTTGTCAATTGTATAGACACCGGAATCAAGTGCTGCACCCTCAGCAAGTTTGAAGATGACAAACAGTCAAACTGCACTGAAAAGTCAACTCTAAGCAAGGATGAAGCAGGACAAAAGAAAAAGCCACAAATATGACGCCTGTTTCTTTTTTTTTTATTTCCCCATGAATTTGCTTTGGTGGGGAGAACTAAAAATGACTTGAGCAGCTCTGCAGCTGCCTGTTAGGGAGTGTTGCTGTCTTCTGTGCTGTGGCAGACTAGATGGATGTTTCTAACACAACACCATCTAACAGATGACACCAAGCTGAGTGGTGCAGTTGACATGTCTGAGGGACAAGATGCCAGTCAGCGGGACCTGGACAAGCTTGAGAAGGGGGCCTGTGTGAAGCTCCTGAGGTTCAACAAGGCCATGTGCAAGTTCCTGGACCTGGGTCAGGATAACCTCTGGTATCAATACAGGCTGGGGATGAAGGGATTGAGAGCAGCTGAGAAGGACTTGGGTGTACTGCTGGATGAAAAGCTGGACATGAGCCAACAATGTGCGCTCACAGCTAAGAAGGCCAACTGTATCCTGGGCTGCATCAAAAGCAGTGTGGCCAGCAGGTCGAGGGAGGTGATTCTGCCCCTCTACTTCACTCTGGTGAGAGCCAACCTGGAGTCCTGCATCCAGCTCTGGAGCCCTCTGCACAGGGGAGACATGGAGCTGTTGGAGCAGGACCAGAAGAGGGCCACCTGGAACGCTTCTTCTGTGATGAAAGGCTGAGAGAGTTGGGGTTGTTCAGCCTGGAAAAGAGAAGGCTCTGGGGAGACCTTGTTGCAGGTTTGCAATACTTAAAAAGGGCTTGTAAGAAAGATGGGGACAAACCTTTCATCACAGTCTGTTGTGACAAGACAAGGGGTAATGTTTTCAAACTAAAAGAGGGTAGATTCAGACTAGATATAAGGAAGAAATTTTTTACAGTGAAGGTGGTGAAACACTGGCACAGGTTGCCCAGGGAGGCTGTAGATGCCCCATCCCTGCAAGCATTCAAGGGCAGGTTGGACAGGGCAACCTGATCTAGTCGAAGATGTCCCCGCTCATTGCAGGGACGTTGGACTAGATGACCTTTAAAGGTCCCTTCCCACCCAAACTATTCTATGATTCTATGCAGATTAATCTTTTTTTCTACTCTTTGCAGTAAGTATAACAATAAGGAGGAGATGGTAGGCAAACTTTCTCTATAGACAATCTGTTACGGAAGACTTCAAGCTTTTCCCAATATACCACTTTCCAGTTGGTGACACAGACAAAAATGTTCAAGGGAGAAAAGCCTGATGCGGCTTTCCTGAGTGATATCTAGATGCCCAAATTATACCCCCTGGTTATCAGCAGCCGTTGTAACTTAAGAGTTGTGAGGTTCCATCTACTTTTAGATTAGATTCCATTTGGCTTGGAACAGGGACAGACGAAGTTTATTTGAAGATACCACTTTCCTGTCCTACTTTCTGCCGTTAGTGCATGCAATGGAAGGATATATTGCTGTAAAGAAATGGGTCTTTCAAAAAGGTGCATTGGTTGTAATTGGAAAAATCCCAAACCCTTGAGAGTCTGAATGTGCCCAACTGGAATCCAGTTGCGATCTATTTTAAAGTTTATGGGTTTGGCCTTGGGAAAGAATTAGGTTGATTATTTCTTCTGGGGGTATATAATGTCTGACATTGCCGGTAACTCTTTTCTCTTTCATCTAGTATCTCCAATCTGGGCATGTTTGGCATCAATGATTTCACTGCAGTCATAAATCCTCCTCAGGCCTGCATCCTAGCTGTGGGCCAAGCAAGACCAGAGCTCAAGGTTGTGGAAGATGAAGAAGGGAATGAGAAACTTAAGCGGCATCAACTCATGACAGTGACTCTTTCAAGTGATTGTCGAGTGGTAGATGATGAACTGGCTTCAAAGTTTCTGGAGACCTTGAAAGCCAACATAGAAAATCCAATGCGACTTGCCTTGTGCTAAACTTGGTGAAGATTGCTTCTTGTTTTGACAACATAGATAGCTGTTACATACTTGGGGTCGTTTTACTGTGAGATGGACAGTTAAAATATTTAATTTATTGAATAAAGTGAAAAACTATTAACTTTCATGCTTTTAGTCTTTTGCAATGAGTTTTATATTGTAAAGCTAAAAGACTTTAAAGTTAACATACTACATTTCTTTAAACACTTAGTACTAATGGTATATAAGGTTTGCGTAGAAAAGCTGGTCTCTGTAAAGGAAGATGCATTAGAAAACTTTATGAAATATAAAAGGGAATCATAGAATAGTTTGGTCTGAAAGGTATCTTTAAAGGACATCTAGTCCAACCCATCTGCAATGAGCAGGGACATCTTCAACTAGTTCAGGTTGCTCAAAGCCCCGTCCAACCTGACCTTGAATGTTTCCAGGGATGGGGCATCTGCAGTCTCTCTGGGCAACCTGTGCCAGCGTTTCACCACCCTCATCGTAAAAACTTCTTTCCAATATCTAGTCTAAATTTACCCATCTATCCTCTTTTAGTTTAGAACCATTACCCCTTGTCCTATCTCAACAGACCCTGCTAAACGGTTTGTCCCCACCTTTCTTAAAAGCCTGTTTTAAGTACTGAAAGGCTGCAATAAGGTCTCCTCAGAGCCTTCTCTTCTGCGAGCTGGACAGCCCCAACTCTCTCAGCCTTTCCTCATAGCAGAGGTGTTGCAGCCCTCTGATCATTTTTGTGGCCCTCCTCTGGTCCCGCTCCAACAGCTGCATGTCTTCCCTGTGCTGAGGGCTCCAGAGCTGAACACAGGACTCTGCGGGGTGTTTCCTGTGGTGAGATGGGAAGCTTATTTAAGGGCTAAATACCTGCCTTTGAGAGTGAGGAAAGCAAGAATCATAACTGAGCGAAGTGCTGCTAAGAGTTCTGGTCAATGCTGACATAAATGAGTAGCTAAGTTATATTGCTGCAGTAGAAAGTTTTTCAGTTTTCAAAAGACTTTTCTGGCATGTTGTGGCATCCAAATTAGATGGAAATAAGGTTTGTAAGATTCCTACATAAGAGCAAAGACCTTACAAACTGAAAAGGTTTTGGTTTAATTTCATTTGCATCACAGATTTAACTGTTCTTTATCTTCTCTTTAACTATAAGCTATATTGAAGAAAAGATGTGTGTGGAGATGAATGGGGAAAAGATATGACAGGAAATTCTGAGACTAAATTTGATCATAGATTTAAAAAAAGTAATTTCTCAAAATATTAAGTAATCTGGTGAAATCCACAGCTTCATTTGTATAATTAGAACTCATTAAAACACATTTAAACTGTAGGTGCATCTGTTTGTTCCAATATTTTAAGATAACTCCATAATGTAATGCCTTGCAGAGGGGTAGAGAGGTGAATAAACTTGTCTGAGTAAATATATTCCCCATAAAGGATGGAATCTCAGCGTTGTTGATTTTTAATTTTTGATGGAACTAACATTTAGCCAAAACATTTTGTGGGAAAAAAAGAAGAGGTTTCCTTTGACTTAATTTGGAGGCAGTTACAGGTTTTACATTGAGAAGTTGCCTCAACTCAGATAGCTTCTCCAGTACCACAAAATAAAAGTTGGTGTTTCTTCAAATGCTCTATGATGTATTGTGGTGAGCTTAAAACCCAAGTTAATTGTGCCAGCAATATTGTGATGAAAAACAAGCTTTAGTTTCTTAATCTCATAAAAGTTCCAGTATGAAAGGTTAAATTTTGCACACTGAATATTTGCTCGTTAATGCTGTTCTTTGCATGGATAGAATAAAGATGTAAGTAGAGTGTTTCATCATCAGTGTATATTGAATTGTAACTGAGAGGCTTAAGTGCAGTGGCCGGAAGTTTAAATTAACAGAAGTAGATAAGGTTTTTTTCTTGTATGTGAATATGGAACCACGTGTTGTATGTGTTTGTAATGAAATAACTGCATTTACAGGACCTGGTGAGAATATAAATTGTCATTAGAATTCTGGGAATTTGTCTTACTCTAGTTTGTGTAAGTAGTTTTTTTAAGGATTTTGAGGACTTGTTTGGGCTGCTGCCATTATTAAAAAGCAAATTGCAAGACGAAACCTTACTTAATACTGAGTTGAGAGTTTTTGCTAAATGAGTTTGCTTCTTTGGCTTGTGCTGACGTTATAAATTTCATAAACTATTAATCTAACAGTAGGGAGAGATTTTGATTACCAAGTGTAGCTTACTATACAATAATGGACATAGCCATTTTGTATTACCAGGAGTTTCTCACTGGTAAATTATATTCAAGATTGGGTGCTGAAGATTAATTTGCAATTATAAATGGTTAACCATGAATTTTTACAAAGTTGTTTGTCAATCCCCTATCACTTTGAAGGGGAGAACCCCACCAATTTGTATATTGTCCTTAAAAATATACAAGAATTTCCCATTGTTTGCGTAGCTTAATCTGCTCTGCCCAAGAGTATTTGCAGAGGAATTTAAAATCTGATATACTGTTCTTCATTTTTGTACTCGGTGCTCTGTTGTTGTTGTGTGCTCCCCAGCATTGTAGATTCTGCTCTTTAGCTGACCACAGTTACGGGCTGCTTGACTGATGTGTACAGCTATAGTTTTGCGTGTGCAAGTCAGTATGTTTTACTCCTGCTTGTGGAGCCACTGGAAGGCGCTATTGCGTGTAAGTACAGTGTGCTCATCATACCTCGTTTGTGTCGGTGCTGATACCTCCATTGTACTTTCCCTGTTCAGCGCAAACAGGCGAAGACAATGCAGCTTTTCCTCCAGGTGAAATAAACATTTGCAGCTTTTGAACTAGGCAAATCTCAATAAGGCTAATACGAGCTTTAATTTCAATTTCTTTACAGCTGACTGCTTGCCAGCATTGTCATTTGACATAAAGATGGATGTATGTGATTTGTCAGTCATCAGCCTCTGAAGATTTGAAATCTCTGGAATTCAGATATGTGACAGCAGTGAGATCTCCTTAATTCAGAGTAATTGTACTATTTGACAACATGTACTGCTTTAGCAGAAGTGAGACAGTAGTTGCCCATACAGATTAAAATAAAACATTGAATATCTTCTTGAATGGTTTAGGGATTTGCGGGTGGGAGTCATGGATAAAATGGCCCAGAAGGTGACCCGTATGACATGGTCATGCTTACATCTGAAGCAAATTTGCCTTCAAGTAAAAATTTCCCAGATGAAAAATGTAACTTTTCATATTTTATTCTTTCAAATATCTCTGTCAACATCTTTTTTTATATACCTAAGCAAGAAATACCATGAAGACATCTACTTTCTTGAAGAATTTAAAAAACAAAAATAAAAATTTTAGGAGCATGCTAATGTCTGCTGGAAATGTCTGCCTTTAGGATATGCTTGGGGAAAACTACTTTCTTTGTATCATTTTCTTTTGCAAGAGGCATAGTTAGAAAAAAAAAAGGTAGCTATTTTGGACTTCGTGGTTGTTGGCAAGTATTAAACTGTGTGTCACACTTCAATGCCTAATTATGCTGTCAGAATATTTAACTTTTTTGAATCTCTCTTCCTGCAATGTGTTGTTTATGAAATAAAATTCCTGTAATTAATCTTCCTACACGTAATCTCTGAAAGAGCCTCACTCCTGCAAAGTGAATGTTTAGTGCTATTTTCACCTAATCCATTTGTCCACATGCTCATCTCCATCTATAGAAAATACAGTAGATGCTCTTATTTCAACTAATGATTAGTCCCATTGGTTCCAATATAATTTCAAAGTTTAGTAGGAAGCAATAAATAATCCAAGAAATAAAGTCTGAGCACGTGCTTCTCTGTGCTGTGTTGTACAGAAAGTTGCATATTGATTGCATTAAAGTATATGCAATTGCAGAGCGAGTTAAGGGTTTCCAAAATTCATTTCTAATTCAGAATTGTTGGAACTGTCACTCGTGATGTGTTTTTCATATGCAGTTATTTGTGCCATGAGGTGACAGAAAATAAAGAAGGTGATGCTGTTAGGATTGATCATGTAATACTCTTAGGATGGTGACCTCTAACCTGATAGTTTGAAACTGATTTTTTTTATTATTTTTATTTTTTACTTTCTTGGCTTTTCTTGTATGACTCCTCATTTTTTCTACTGAGTTTATGTTCTCGATTACATCAGACCACAACAAGTACTTTTTCCTCCCCAAAATCCACTGAAAGTGTTATGCATTGTTGTCATTTCTTTGGAAGCAGTGGAAATAAAGCACATCTGGTTGCACAATGACCAGTGCCAGCTGGTCAGATGAATCGATCTCTTTCTGTCGGAAGTACCCATTGCAAGCCCCTTTCAGTTTATCCTGGTGGTTTCAGGTATGGGTTAATGGGAGTAAGGTTAATCTACTTGTATGGTAATCAAAAACTGGGCAAGACCAGGAGCAGCCACTTGGGGAGCTTAATTTCTGTAATTTGTGCTGTAGACTTTTATGGAGAATGTCTTGTTTTCGGCTGGGATAGAGTTAATTTTCCTCCTAGTAGCTGCTGTGTTTTAGATTTGCTGTGAGAAGAGTGTTGATAGCACTGATGTTTTCAGTTGTTGCTATAAATCAAGGACTTTTTCCAGTTTCTCGTGTTCAGCTAAGGCGCAGGTGTGCAGGAGCTGGGGGGGAGCACAGACAGACAGACAGACAGGCTGGTCAGTGGAAATATTCCGTACCATAGACATCACACTCACTTTGTGTATGGCAGTTGGCCGGGGGCAGGGAGGCTCTCTGCTCTTCTCATTTTCATGAGTTCGAATCCTCTCTTGTCCAGGGAGTGTTTGAACTTTTTCAGGAATTTAGCAAAACTTACGATTTCTGGGTTCTGTGATTGCTACTTGGAGACTGACTGTGAATCGTTTGTTGGGTGGTGTGAAAAATTGTATTGTGTATAGTTTGTTTTGCATATTCATTACAATTATAATTAGTAGTAGTATTAATATTTCCTTTGTTGTCCTATTAAACTGTCTTTATCTTAACCCATGAGTTTCCCTTTTGTCCATTTCTCCTCCCCATTCTGCTAAGGGGGAAGGAGAGGTTTGAGCGAGTGGCTGTCTAGTGCTTAGTTGCTGGCTGTCACATTGAACTACAACAGAGAAGAATTTTGCTCGCAAAGGTGGGCAATCTATCTTTCACCACCACTCTACTTCAAGGATATGAAAAGCTGTAGCATAGAATTTAAAACTTTGCATAGGTTGAGGGATGGAACACCTCTCCCATGAGGACAGGCTGAGAGAGTTGGTAGTACTCTTGAACTATTTCTTCATTTTGAGCTTATGCTGATTGAGTTTGT